GCATAGGCCCCTCTGTGTAGTGCTTTAAAGCAGTGCTGTGGTGATGCTTTCCTGTTTAGCATTGTGTGGGCTAGCTGTCACATAAAATGGCTGACACTGACCAAACCCATTTCTGTCCCCTCTGACAGTGGCCTTGTCCTACATCATGTGGACTGAGGCTGTTACACACACCCCAGAGCCAGTGTCCTGAAGGCCTATGTAGAAGCTGCCAGGCTGCAGTAACCAGCAGTGCTAAACTCTTTCAGGTGGCTTGGTGTCAAATAGCTGCCCACACATACATGTAAGATTTTCACTTAGGCGCTAGATGTCAGTAGAATCCTCAGTGGACAGATCCTGTCTTGAATTTCCCAAGGTGCAGCAGTAGGCCCCATCCTTCAACCTTTGCCATCCTGTAAGCCTGAATAGGTGTCTCTGTCCCTCATGTCTCCATGTCCTGTCCCGTCCTGTCCTGTCCCATGCCTCCAGCTCACAGGGCTGCGATCTGTCAGGGGAGTCTGGTGTTACTGAACACTTGTATCTGTGGCCTCTAGGACATTGGCCTGCCAGATTTGGTGAGGTAGCCACTGTGGCCTGATATAACAGGACACACCAACCTCAGAGTTGGCTTTGAGTATACAGCCTTACCTTTGTTTTTTGTTTGTCTTTTTTTTTTCTTTTTTTTTTTCTTTTTTACGAGACAGGGTTTCTCTGTATTGTTTTGGAGGCTGTTGGTCCAGCCGGGCCCTGAACTCACAGAGATCCGCCTGCCTCTGCCTCCTGAGTGCTGGGATTAAAGGCATCCGCCACCACCGCCCGGCTTGTCTTTGGTTTTTTGAGACAGGGTTTTTTTTTTTTTTTTTTTCCCTGTGTGGCTCTTGCTGTGCTGGAACTCACTGTGTAGACCAGACTAGTCTCTAACTCAGATCCGCCTGCCTCAGCTTCTCAAGTGCTGGGACTAAAGTTGTGTACCTGGCCAGACAGCCACATCTTGTCAAAGTGGAAACAGGTCCTTTAAGACCAGCAAAGCCACTCCTAGGTGAGCACTGGGAGACAGAGCAGCCCCTCATGCTATCTGCCTGTTGCTGAGACCTTTGAGCTTTCGAGACCCTGAGAGAAGTAGAGGAAAAGTGATGTTCTTCAAGATGCAGATGTCAGAACAACCTGCCATCTCCTACTGTGGGCACTCAGCAGGCAGTCCCATTAGTCTCCAACCCACAGCTTCGTGGGTTCTCCTCTCCACAGGACCCAGTGCTGATGCCTGTAGGAGACAGTACTGGGGGACAGTCCCCTGGCTCTGGGAAGAAACCCCAGCCCACTCAGTCTTAGTGAGTCCATCCCTCCCACCCTGGTGGGAGGACCATTTGTTTGGGTCTTCACAGCAAGGTAAATGACCCTCCTGTGCCTTTGCTGGGCCTGAGGTTGTGTCATCTATGTGAGAGACATGTGTTCAGGGTGGGAGTCCCTCTCGTGAGTCAGAGAAAGATGTGCCACAGGGAGGGAGGGAGGCAGGCAGGCCTGTTCGGGGGGCATGGTGTCATCTGTCCATCCTGTCTGTGTGTGAGGAGACTAAGGCCACATTTTCTAAAAGTCCTTTGGGGAACTGAGGGGTGGGTCCCTGCAGGTCTTGGGGCCTCCTTCGGGAGCCATAGGGCTAATGTACATACACTTTGACAATTCTGAAGGCAGAGGACCATCGGGGTGATGGAGACAAGGTTGGACAGGGCGCAGGTGTGTAACTCAAGCTAAAGCTACTGTGTGTTGTGGTCCAAAGTTTGGATACAGAAGCTAGGTGGGTAGGTTATGGTTTAGCCATGCTGGGGCCCTGTGTTGGCCCCTAGGAGGACTTGTGGTCCAGAGTGAGGTGTCTTTGGGCTGTAGGCCATGGTTAACTCTGAGGTCCCATTGTACAGATTCTCACCTTAGGTGATGTGTTGTTTGTACATACAGTGTGGGTCTGGGCAACCATTACTTGGAAACCTTTTCTCTGACTTTGCAGTTTAGGTGCATAGGATTGCTTTATGTTTAGGGTTTGTAGAGCTTCTTGGATAAGCTCCCCTAGAATGAGTTCAGGGCCATTACTTTTTAGTGCTTCCATTGTGTTCCCACCTAAAGTCTTATTTTCTCTCCTGTGTCCTGTGTGTCCCAGTGGGCCATGACCCTATGGACAAAGGCGCTATTTGCCACAGCCAAACTCTCCCCACTACTCTGTGGGTACCAAGAAGATGTAGGTTTGGGAGGACCGGGCCCCAGGAAGTCTCATTTGAGAACCACAGAGGTCCAGTCCCCAAGGCCAACTCTGTATCTCCTCCATGAAGCTCCTTCCTTACATCAGGCTGAGGGAGCAGACAGGAACTGAGCACCTCCCTGAAAAGAGAGTTAAGAGCTCAGACACCCTGCAGGACACTGCAGACACCCCGGTAGGAATAGAGCTTTTGGTGTTGAGTACCAGGCTGGCCTGTTTGCAGGGGTCTTTGCCAGTGACACTGTGCGTCAGTATGTTCTCAACACAGGTTGGCAGTGTCCTGATGAATGCAATTGATCCAGACGTCCTGGCCATACAACACAGCCACCTGCATGCCCCTCTCCATGTTCCTCTTGTCTGCTTTAGTCCTCATAAGCGTCTCCCTCCAGTGCCTATTGCTGTTTGACACACCTGTGCCTGGTCCTGAACTAAAAGCTGCTTCCAAAAGTACAGACAATCTTGAAGGTACTTTTGTTAAAAGCTGAGCTTTGAAAAGTTTTTCAGTTTGGAAACCAGATGGGCGTATGGTTTCCTCTGTATGTGAGGAGCAGGCATAGTCCCCTGGAGGCTGCACAGGAAGGCCCTTAGGGTGAGTGGAGCCTCCATTTCCTGTGGCACCTGAACCCTTACCTCTCTTCAAAATGAAGGCTGTGTGTCATGAACCGGTTAGAACTGCCCGTTGCCATGGTTTTCACGTTGGAAGGCACAGTTAAAGGTCACATGACCAAGGAGGGAAATGCCTTTGTCACATGACTTTTTGATGTCCTGATTAGCATAGAGGAAGTTCACTGCCAGCTGCCTGTGGCTGGGATGCTGAGTGATCACTGGCAGTGACATCACTCCGAGGTGTGTTGCTGATTAGTACAGTGGTCAGGGCTGCCTTCCAAGGAGGCCTCAGCCCAGGATGGACTCTGCCCCAGCCTTCCCCTCATCCCTGGGGCAAAGCTTTATTAGAGGTCCATCTCAGGAAGGTAGAAAAGAGATGTGGGGTCCCCGCAGTTGGCCACCCTTCAGTCCGTGCACACCCAGGAAGCCCAGTGCTTGACTGTAGCTCAGTTCTGGGTGCCTCTCAGGCCTGGCTGCTCGGTCCAGTGCCACATCACAGGGCCAGGCTGGGCTCTGTGCAGCAGTGTGCAGCGCCTGCTGTGCACCCCGCGCCTGGATCAGAGCTGCCTTGAAAGCTGGTCTGGGGCCATCATCCAGGAGGTGCTTGAAGAGACCGGAGGAAGATGCCCAGGGTCTCAGTCTCGTTAATGATTTATTTTATGTGCATTGGTGTTTCACCTAGTGGCCTGTGTGAGGGTTTCGGATCCCCTGAACTCCAGTTACTGAGAGTCAGCTGTCGTGTGGGTGCTGGAAATTGAACCTGCATCCTCTGGGAGAACAGCCAGTGCCCTTAACCATGGAACCATCTCCAGCCCCCCCCCCCCCCAAGGTCTCTTTTAAATGACCCGTTTCTGGGCTGCCAAAGCCTGCTGTCCAGCAGCCCCAGACTCTGTAGACCCCAGACTTGGGCCTTCAGATCTTGTCCTTCCTAACCCTGGCAGCCACTGTCAGGGTTCCTGTGTAGCTGCACCAGGAAGCAAAAGACACATCTGGCTGGTCAGTCTGCTTCTGACCCTTCCTGAGGCCTGTGGGGGTCTAGAAGCTCTTCAGTAAGTAACTGACCTCACTCTGCTCTAGCACAAACCGCTGTGTGCTGACTTCCAGTTAACTTCAACCGTTTGTCTCCTGTGTCACAGTGCCATCTAGTGGACATATTATGAGATGCGTTTCCACAAGCCATATGGGAGATGAGTCCTCAAAGGGTGTTGGAGAACATACCCAGGGGCAGTTTGTGGCCTGCCCTCTATGCACAGTACCTTCTTTAGGATTGCTGCCCCCACCCATGTGGTACGACAACAGAGCACATTTGGCCCTGAGGCTTTAGAAGCAACACATGTGTATGCCCTCTGACACCCAGTGTCCTTGGTGCTCCTGTATGGACTGACATAGACTGTGCTGGGCCAGCAGCTCAGTGACTGGCCTTTAGGGAGTGTGGAAAGAGCGCTCAGTGTTACGGAACTCTGATAACTGGCAGCCCGTGCCACTCCTGCCATAACCCAGCTCCTAGGGGACTGTGTTTGGCTGTTGGTTCACAGGGAAAGTGAGCTTCCTATGGAACTTGGAGGAGTGTGCAGACTTGGGGACAGAGGGCAAAGTGTAGCTAGTAGGACAGCACTGGTATCCTCAGGCAGAGCCTGAGGTTCTGAGCCTTGAGACAATGGTTCTTTTGAGTTTCAAAACTGTAGTCAACTGCAGCCTCTTGCATGTGTGTCCTAGGTAGGTGGTTTCACAGATGGCCCCGCGTTCCCTTGTAAGGTGAAGAGCAAAGGCCAGCAGCATACCATAGAGCTCTTTCGGTTTTCTGGGGCTTGTATGGGACTAGGTTAAGGGAGGGGTGGGCTTCCCATGGTGTGATTCCCAGTGGGAGCAGGTGGGAGCCCTTGGCTTCAGAGTGCTCACATCCCGTCCTGCCCAGTTCTCAGAATCTGAGATCTGCAGCTCAGTGTATTGACCTGTGACTTAGCTCCACAGTAGAGTCACACTTTCCTCAGTACCCATGATGCACCCTGTGCTCACAGACAAGGCTCGTGGTCTGGGGACAGTCCCGGGAACCAGTTAGTTGGGATGACCGCGATGTAAGTGGCAAGAGGAGACAACTCGTGACAGGGCATCTGGATGAGGCTGGAAGGGGCTGAGTGCTCTGTTCTGTTAACCTGTTACCTCTGTCTGACAGTGACATTAAGTCCGAGAAGAGACCTCCTTCACCGGATGTGATCGTGCTCTCTGACAGTGAGCAGCCGTCAAGCCCGAAGATGAATGGGCTGACCACCGCAGCCTTGAAGGACACCAGCACTGAGGCGCTACTGGTGAGACTGTAGGGCCTGTGCCTGTGCCGGGAGAGGCCACCCCAGCTGTACAGTGCCTACTGAGTGAGTGTCTTCCCATTTCTCTGCTTGCTGCCATAGAAAAGCAGCCCAGAGGAGCGAGAGCGGATGATCAAGCAGCTGAAGGAGGAGCTGAGGCTGGAGGAGGCGAAGCTGGTCCTCCTGAAGAAGCTGCGGCAGAGCCAAATGCAGAAGGAGGCCGCAGCGCAGAAGGTACGCACGCTCTGCCCACCTCAGAGCCTCGTCAGAGTCTGGGCATCCCAGGGCTGGGGGGCTTGGTCCAGGGCAGAGGCCTAACCCACGCGGTACCTGGGTAGCAGGGAGCAAGCAGGCCATGATTACAGGGTGGTGGTGTGTGCAAGGCTGTCTACTGTCCACACACCACAGCCTGCTGATGCCCTGCTGTCTTATAGCCTACAGCTTCCTCAGGGAGCACCGTGACCACCCCTCCCCCTCTAGTGCGGGGTACCCAGAACATTCCTGCTGGCAAGACATCACTTCAGGTCAGTGCGCACCCTTCTGCCTGTTGGCCAGCACCACCACTATTTATAGTCAGCCTCCTGAGCAGCCTTGGCCCTGTGGAAGCCGAGGCTGCCTATTCCTTCTGAATAAAGTGACATGGGGCCTCGTTCCAAGTAAACAGACAAGGACCGAAATGTCACCCAAGCTATCCTGCCATACCAGGCTACTATCAGTGTCACAGACTGATCAGTGGTGATCAACCAGTAAGATCAAAAGTAGAATGACTAGAGTAGGACACTCTTCAGTGGACTTCATCGAGCCTCTCGGCTCAGGCCTCTGCCCACAGGCTTCAGTGGCTCTGTCGCACCCTCATTCCCTTCTTCCGAGTAGAGGCATGTGTACAGTAAATAGGCTTTTTAGCTAATAGTGGTTTTTGTGTCTTTGGTGGGTTTTTGTTTGTTTTGAGGATTTTTTGGGAGGGTGGGCTTTAAGAGACAGCGTTTCTCTGTGTATCCCTGGCCGTCCTGGAACTACTCACTTTGTAGACTAGGCCTGCTGGGATTAAATGACAGGGCTTGTGTATTGGTTTTTAATTTGTTACTGTAAAACAGAAACCAACCTAGAGCTGTGACTTCATTGTTAGAGTCCCTGGCTCATTTTACCAAGCCCTGAGTACCACATACATTAGGCTGGTGGCTCACACCTGTCTTCCATGCACTGGGGGAAGTAAAGGCAGAAGCAGTTGTAAGAGAAACAGAACAAACGTATGATCCTGGGTCTCAATGTCATCCACAGACCTCCTCTGCTCGAATGCCGGGCAGCATCATCCCACCGCCACTGGTCCGAGGTGGGCAGCAGGTGTCTGCCAAGCTAGGACCACAGGCCAGTTCTCAAGTAGTCATGCCGCCGCTTGTCAGAGGGGCCCAGGTGAGTCCGGCATGTGTGCTGGGGTGGGGCAGGTGTCCACCCCTTCCATGACCTGCCAAGGTTGGTTGGTCTCAGTGGCATTTCTTGTCCCCTGTCTCCCAGCAGATTCACAACATCAGACAGCATTCCTCCACGGGGCCACCACCTCTCCTCCTAGCCCCCCGTGCCTCAGTGCCCAGCATGCAAATTCAGGGACAGAGGATCATCCAGCAGGGACTCATCCGTGTCGCCAATGTCCCCAATACCAGTCTGCTTGTCAACATCCCTCAGGTGAGACTGCAATCTAGGAGCAAGGTTGGAGTGGCATCGCTGATAGGTCTCAAGGTGTCATTGTGTCTTCTGGGAGTGGGCTGGTGTCACACTCTTGACTCCCGAGTCTGGTGGGGTCTCACACACAGCTTAGGGTGGGCTGGACTTGTTCTAGGTGTGAAGATCTTGCACAGGTTGGCCTCTACCAAAGTTAGAGTGGGGGTGCAGACATGTGAGAGACAGCAGGCTTTGAGTGAAAAATAGGGAGACCACTAGAGGGACACCAGAGCACTCTGGAGCCTGCCATCGTTCCAAGAGTCACTGCTACCTCCCCCAACTCCTGCTGGCTGTGTCCTCAGGCTGGAGGACAGCGTGCCACAGATCCTCCCATAGCCAGTGGGCTATTCTTAGCTATGTCCTTCCACCTCTGTACAGAGTCTCTGTGATGGGAAGGGTCTGTCCCACCCCTGTGTGTCAGGATGGAAAGAAAAGACTAGAGTAAGAGTTTTGTCTGACAGATGAAATTACCCAGTATGCAGGCCTTTTGCTGACAGCGAGTTCTTTCTTCCTTGTTTGTCACTGCCCACCCTCCTAGACAGGACAGGGCTGGACTCTGGACTTGCCTGTATTAAAGTCCAGTTCCAGCGCATAGACAATAGCTATCTCTGCCTCCCGCCTGGAAGGGTGTGTGTCCTAGCTCAAACAAAAGACTCAACAGCAGCCCATGCTCCACCTCTGCTGTGCTCAGTGTGCTGCCAGGGTGATCTGCTGGTGATGGACCAGGGCCCCTGCCAGTCAGAGACTGCATCTAGAGCCCTCACAGAGGAAAAAGGGTGCATGGTGCCGTGTATTTTGTGGAGCCGGGACACTGGCATGGTCGGTCAGCCTGGGTTTGGGGAACACAGCAGTGGGAGCTATATTTCCCCATGACCCTCTACACACATAAGAGTCCATCGAGCAGCAGCGCTCTGGGGTGTAGACCCCACTGCAGCTTCCCAGCTTGGCTTGCTGGACTCCTGAGTGTGCAGGGAGCTGGGTCTGTAGAACCTGGGTATCCCTGCAGCTGTGGACTTAGGTGGTAGCGGCCACTCAGCTTTATTTAGTTTGTTTTTTTGGTTTGTTTTTGTTTTGAGACAGGGTCTCACTATGTAGCCCAGGCTGGTCTTGAACTCCAGAGATGTGCCTCCCCTTGCCTCCTGAGAGCTGGGATTAAAGGACTGGGCCAGCATACCCGGCTCAGATTTACTCTTTAAGGACTCCAGTGTGCAGCAGACATGGAACCTGCTTTAGGTAGCCTGAGCCTCACCTAGTTGTCTTCCACAGCCCACCGCAGCCTCGCTGAAGGGGACAACGGTTGCCTCTGCTCAGGTCAGCTCCACTCCCACCAGCGTGGCTTCTGTGGTTGCATCTGCCGAGTCTCCAGCCAGTCGGCAGGCTGCCGCCAAGCTAGCACTGCGAAAACAACTGGAGAAGACCCTGCTCGAGATCCCACCTCCCAAGCCCCCTGCTCCAGAGATGAACTTCCTGCCCAGTGCTGCCAACAATGAGTTCATCTACCTAGTCGGCCTGGAGGAAGTGGTGCAGAACCTGCTAGAGACACAAGGTGGGTGGTGACCTTACCTCCTGCTGCAGCCTCAGGCAAGATATTCTAGAATTGGGCATCAGGCAGCCATGTTGCCACCAGTTATACTGTGAAGTCAGCTCTGGTGTGGTCAGGGGTGAGGTTGAGCGTCTGTAGGAGGCTGACCTTTGGATGAGGCAGAATTTTTCAAAGCCTCTAGTCTTCTTGGCCCGAAGGACAGATAGGAAAACCTTACCTGGAGACAGTGTGGATAGGACATCTTAGGACCCCACTGAAACAGCGTTAGACAAGGAATGCTTGAATGGCCCAGTTGGCACTCAGACATGGACTCTTGGTGTTGAACTGGTGGGTAGGTTAGTGGCGGTCAGCCTCTCTTCCTGCCCCCAAGTGGCTTTGTCAAATGCCAGGAAAAAAAAGAGAACTATGACTGGACCCAGCAGACCTTGGCCCCTACTGTGGTCGTTAGTGCCAGCCCTTGGACACAGATGTAAGGGGCAGTGTGCACAGAGAACGGTTTCCACTGTCACTCAGGAAGTGGTGGGAGCATGCAGAGCTGAGTTATCGAGTGTGTGCTCCAGGTTCCTGGGATCCCCAGCCCCACACACTTGGGTTGGACCACACCTACCAGCAACCCAGAGCACAGTGGCCCAATAGGCTCAGAGGTTTGCCCAGTGCATACTCCTGATAACTTTTGTAGCCCTCCTCGAGCACAGAATTGCACTGAAGATAGTCAGCAGGCCCCTGTGACGGGACAACACCCTCTGTGGCGTGGGGTTAGTGATGTACACCCTTGGGCTTCCGAGAGAGACCAAGTGTGCATTGCTGGGAATTGGGTGCTGGCACTCTGTAGGGAGTTGACACCTACGGAGCTGCTGGGGAGAGGCATCCACTGCACAGGGCACTGAGTGCATGCAAGGGCTGTGGAGTGCCAGCAGTCATCTCTGACCCCGTTTGGGACCTGCCCCCTCATCCTGTCAGGCCCACCCCACCCCCTCATTCAGGGTACTGGTGAGGTGGGTCAGAGCTGTGGACAGCTAGTGCGGTACTGTCTGTTAGCTCTGGGGAGTCCCCAGACTCCTGTCTGGCATGTTCCTCAGTGATGCAGCTGGCCCATTGTGCAGCCAGGCTCCTCCTGGAGCCCTGGCTTGGCTCTACTGCCAGCCACATAAAGAGGAAGTTGCCTGTTTCCTGGCCTCAGCCATCCTCAGTGTTCAGTAGCATGTCCCCAGGAAGAGGGAGTGAATACCCACTTGCTTGCACGGTAGCTTTGGACACGTCTGCTAGTTAGGACACCTGCCATGTGTCTCAGGGCCTTGGCAGATGTTCAGCCCCAGCCTTTCTGCAGTTGATCCACTGTGTGTGGTCGCCATGTGCCTATGGGAGGTGCCTGTCCAGGCCACTCCCACAGTCCCTGAGGTTCCTTTGACAAAGTCACCCCATCTATTACAGCGGGCAGGATCTCTGCTAGCACAGCTGCTGCTGTGTTATCCCGGGAGCCTTACATGTGTGTTCAGTGCAAGACAGACTTCACATGCCGCTGGCGGGAAAAGGGCGGGGCTGTCATGTGTGAGAGCTGCATGACGACCAGCCAGAAGAGGGCGCTCAAGGTGGAGCACACCAGCCGGCTGAAGGCGGCCTTCGTGAAGGCGCTGCAGCAGGAGCAGGAGATGGAGCAGCGGCTGCTGCAGCAGGGCGTGGGCGCCGCCAGCACGAAGGCTGAGCCTGCAGCCCCACATCCCACACTGAAGCAGGTGAGGACGGGAGCCTTCACCACCCTTAGACTGGGGGGTGTTCCGGAGGCGTCCCCTTCCGCCCACCCGCCTGCTGGTTAACTGCAGGTTAAATTACACCTAATGGTGTCATTTGGCAGTGAAAACACTAATTTGCAGTTTCTTTAGATTTTGTGGCTTTCATCCCAGTCCAGTGGGAAGTGCTCCTGTCTAAAATGACTGCTGAGAGAGAGCCGTGCTGGGTGTTAGCAGGAGCACCCTGGCGAGCTGAAGGAGAGGGCTGGGGTGTGGACCTGAACCTGCACCCGTCCACCCCCTTTTTCTTTTTTCTTTTGTGAGACATGGTCTCCCCATGTAGCTCCAGCTGCCCCAGATCTCACTCTGTAGACCAGGCTGGCTTTGAACTCACAAGAGACCTACCTGCTTCTGCCTCCTGAGTGTGCTGCTCTTTTTTGTGGTTTCTGTCTGATCACACTTTGTGCCTCACCAGAAACATTTTTTTCACCGTGTCTTGCAGTGTCTGGGGCTGGCAGTTGTTGGCACCGCCACCATAGCCAGGCCTGTCTGATAGGCTACCCTCAGCCAGTTTGGGTTAGTGTCACGGTCCTTGCTGACATACCTTTCAATCCCGTTTGTGTAGGTCATAAAGCCCCGACGTAAGTTGGCGTTCCGCTCAGGAGAGGCCCGTGACTGGAGTAACGGGGCTGTGCTACAGGTCAGAACCCACAGCCACCGGCCCTCGCTGCGCTGGTCCTCTCGCTCTCACTGTCTCCCGGGGCTCTCCTCACCACCCTGCCTTCTCCCACAGCCCCCTCCCTCTCCCCCATGCCCTAGTGCAGCGCGCCTGGCTGCTTTCCCTTTGGACTCTGGAGACACAGGCAGCTTGGGCCCCCTGCCCATGCTAAGCCTGGCTCCCTTTGTGTTCTGTAGGCTTCCAGTCAGCTGTCCCGGGGCTCGGCCACAACACCTCGTGGTGTTCTGCACACATTCAGCCAGTCACCCAAACTGCAGAGTGCAGCATCAGCCACGGCCCTGGTAAGCAGGACTGGCAGACATTCCGAGAGAGCTGTGAGCACCAGCAAGGGTACCACCTCCAACTGGAAAAAGACGACCCTGAGCACAGGTATGCCTCCACCCCTGGGGACGGCCTGCCTGCCACGAGGCTGCCTTTCCTTGTTGGTGGGGTATAGTCTGGTACAGACTGGTCTGGAACAAACTCACCTAGTTCCCACTTCCTCCTGAGCACACAGCCTCTTGCTCCCATGTAGCTTTTGGGTTACCAGCCAGCTCCCAAATCATGACACAGATTTTTATTAGTTAGGAATCGCAGTCTAGCTTGTGCTTGTCCCACTAGCTTTTATAGCCTGTTTATCTTCATGTGCATTTTCACTCAGGACTTTTCTTTGATTCTGTGTGTCCTGTTCTATGTCTGGGTGGCCCCTGGACCTCTCCTTTCCCTGCTTCGTTCTCTCATAGATTTAACCTCCTGTTTATTCTCTCTCCCTGCCAGCCTGTTATATACTATTGCCTGTCTATTGGCCATTCAGCTTTTTATTAGACCAATCAGGGGCCTTAGGCAGGAAGTTAAAGCAGCAGCACATCTTACGTAATTACACAAATGCAGCATAGACACATGGGACACCTTTACAGTACAGTTATATTCTAAAAGACTCCTGTCCCTCCTGGGACGAGTGACCCTTGCCCCCAGAAGAGCTTCTCGTGGCTCGCTTCTACCCTGCTTCAGATGTAAGCGCCTAGCTGAGGGGTGGTTACTGTCACCCGCTGCCCTGCTTGAGAGGTTAACGGTACCAGCTCCCAGAGTCCGCCCACCACTCATCACTCCCACTCTCCTCTCCCTGCGTGACCAGAGCAGAACCAGAGAGCCGGAGATGGGGTTGGCTGTGGAGCTAACAGGGCAGCCCCCAGCCCTGCTGTCCTGTAGCCCATTCTGCTGGAGGAGCGGGGTGTGCCAGTCAGGGTCAAGAGCCAGGGAGCTGTGGCAGGCAGTGCAGTTGAACTTTAGTTTGGGCCACCAAGCAGCTCCCACATAAAGACAAGGAGAGCTACTATTATTTATGAACGCATGGCCTTAGCTTAGCTTGTCCCAGTAGCTCTTTTAACTTAATTTAACCTCTTTTTCTGTTGATCTACATTTTGCCTTGGGGCTTTTACCTTTTTTCACTTTGTATTCCTACTTTCACCATTTCTCCGAATCTGGCTGGCTGGCCCTTGGTGTCTCCCTGTCGTCTCCTTTTCTTTCTCCTCGAACCTAAATTCTCCCTCTTACTAATCTTCCCTGCCTGGAAGTTCTGCTGTACGTCCTCCCTCACTGTTGACTGTTTAGCTTTACATTAGACCAATCAGATGCTTTAGGCAGGCAAGGTGAAACAGCAGCACACCTTTACATAGTTAAACACATGTTCTGCATCAAGGCAGTATAGAAAGGGTACTGCTCACGCCTGGGCACATTCAAGGGACAGAGCCAAGAACTTGCGACTTTTCTTAAATTACCTATTGTGAGCTGGGCATAATAGCACACCTGCAGTTCACTAAGTGTGAGAGTAGACACAGTGACACTCACTGTCCCTGATACTTGGGAGGCTGAGACAAGAGGATGACTAGCTCAAAGAGTTTGAGACAAACCTAGGCAATGTAGGGATTGCTAATTTAAAAGAGAGAAGAGTTGGGGATAGAACTAAGTGATCAAATATTTGCTTGGGGGATGTGAGACCCTGAGTTACACCCCTGGGGGCACAGGCCTGTAATTTCAGCACTGGGAGGGAGAGGCAAATGAATCTATTATGAAGCCAGCCTCGCCTATGTGGTGGGTTTCAAAATCCAAGCAGTGGGATGGAGAGAAGGTTTAGCAGGTAAGAGCATGGGATATTGTACAGGACCCACGTTTGATTCTATTGGGCAGGTCACAACTGCTTGTGACTCCAATTCTGGCTCTAATGGCGCACACACAATCAAAAGTAAATCTTTTTGTGAACAGGATGGTGGCACACGCCTTTAATCCCAGCACTTGGGAGGCAGAGGCAGGTGGATCTCAGTGAGTTTGAGGGCAGCCTGGTCTGCAAGAGCAAGTTCCAGGACAACCTCCAAACCCGTAGAGAAACTCTGTCTCAAAAAAATAAAATAAAGTAAATCTTTTTGTTTTGCAAGACAGAGTTTCATTGTGTAGCCTTGGCTGTCGAGTGTTGGGGTTAAAGGTATGCTCCACCACCACACAGCCTAAAAATAAATCATTTAAAAAAAAAAAAAAACCAAGCAGGCTGGGTGTTGATGGCTCACGCCTTTAATCTTAGCACTCAGGAGGCAGAGGCAGGTGGATCTCTGTGAGTTTGAGACCAGCCTGGTCTGCAAGAGCAAGTTCCAGGACAGGTTCCAAAACAATACAGAGAAAACCCTGTCTCGAAAAAACAAACAAACAAAACACCCAAACAGAGCAAGTTGACATCCCATGGCCTCAAGTTATAGGAACATGGAGGCAGGAGAACCACTTAAGGCTTCTTGTAGTCTGAGGGCAGCCTGGCCAGCACAGAGAGCCTTCCCTCTCCTGTGTGTGCTGTTATGCATGGGGAGAATTACTTCTCAGTCACACTGCTGCATGAAGCTCCATTGCATTGATGGAAAAACCCTTGTTTAAGGTTTACTCATCTCTTAGCACAAAACCCTGACCCGCTGTTCCATAACGTAGGTTACCTCAATGAGATCTGAGTTTGAGACAATTGATGGGTCCTGCTCCTGGGTCCTTTGGGTATTGCTAGGCTCACTGCTGTCTGTCACTGTGTTTTGTTGCAGGAGGGACCCTTGCCTTTGTCAGCCCAAGCTTGGCAGTGCATAAGACTTCCTCAGCTGTGGACCGTCAGCGAGAATACCTCCTGGACATGATCCCTCCACGCTCCATCCCCCAATCAGCCACGTGGAAATAGTGTGAGCCTGGCCCAGCTGAGGACAGGCCCTCTGCTCTCCCGAGGCCCTGGTCTAGGACGCACAGACCACCCTCCTAACCAGTTGCCTGAGACAGCTCAGGCCTTGGCTATCTAGCCCTGCGGTGTTCAGAAGAGGGTGCCACCCTGGTGCCCGGGATCAGAACCAGGGACCCTCCCCGAGGGCCTTCTCCTTCCTTTTTGCCTTTAGTTTGCCCGACACCAGCAGAAACTCGGACCTTGGGGTCAGCTCTGCCTGGCCAGCATGGGTGGGAGCTCACCCTGGACACTGTGACATGCCCAGGCCAGCCTGGCACCGGGAGCTCCCAAAGTTGAGCCGGGGTTTAGTTTTCTTTTGACTTTTCCCATCTTAGCCCCCCAGTCTCTGTCTCCTCATGGCCACCTGTAGGTTGAAGTTTGGGTTTTTGTTTTTTCTTTTTTAATCACCTCACAATGATGATGGAATTAAAAGTGAACTGTGTAGACCCAGGGTCCCTGTTGTGCAATGTCGTCCTGGCGGACCCTGACCCCAGAGGATGCTCTGAGTGGCAGTAGCCAGGGATGACAGGTGCCACCATGGCTGCAGCTGTGTCTGTTGCCACAGCCCCTGGCTCCACACTTAGCAGGATGAACCGCAGCCCAGACCACCAGACACTCGGAGGTTCCAGGGGAATGCTGGGCCTGTTGTGCTGGAACCAAAACTGGCTGCTGGCAGGGAGGGTACTGGGTTATTTTTTGTGGTTTATTTTATTAAAATTTCTTTCCTTTTCTTCTTTTTGATGGACACAAGCTCAAGGTACCCAAGAGGCACCCAGGTAGCCCAGACAGAACCCCTACCGGGGCCTGGGGTCGGCAGGGTTTGCTTCCATCGACTCCTCAGTCCACGGGGATGTCTTTGAAAGGGCCAGGTCTACTTTAGTTTTATCTTTGCCCCTCCCCCTCTTAAACAGTTGGTTTCATGGTGAAGGCAGAAGCAGCACTGTGTCCAGCCGCCTGCTGCACATCGCGGTCGGATCCCGACCAGCCCTGGCTTCCCTTGACACAATACAGTTAGGGACTTTAATTTAAACCCTTGTTCTGCAGACACGACCTCTGCAGACACGCCCCTGCCTCCTCTAATAAAGGCTCATTTAACCCCGTGCTCACTTGTGTGCAAATCCTCCGTCTCTAGGAATTATTTGGGCATGCGGGCGTTCAAGTTTTGGAAAATCTTTTTGTTGTGTGAATCCCAAGTTTCTCGGTGCTTTTAGGTTTGAGTGTGTCACTTCCCAGGGTCAATTTGGGGGGATGAACAGAAATTGACCCTTCTTGGGGGAGAGGGGGTGTTTTTACACCAATAAATATAAATATATATGAAATAATTAATATACGCAAGCATTTCTTACACGAGTATTTGTGTGCCTGGTAAGTCAGTTCCTTGCTGAGTGACTGACCTCTGCTAGAAGCCATCCCAGCCAGTAGACCTCAGTTCATTCAGACCATTCCCCGGAACTGTCAGGGTCTGGCCAGAGGGTTCTGTTGGTATACTTGTGACCTCCCTGCCTTCTAGCCGTCTAAGTCTGGTGATTGCTCCCATCGTGACATTCACCTGCCACCTAAGGCTTGTCCACCTCACAGGGGACAAGCTATGGCAGAGGCCCAGTGATGACACTAAGGAGGGCCGAGAGAGTGAGGTGTCTCAGTTACTAAGTGCTGCCCTGCTCTGGGCAGCAGGCCCTCAGCGACGCAACTGAGGACTGGGCCAGGAGGACCAGGTATTTAGGGTGCTGTGTCAGCCACAAAGCTGCTACCCCTGCCAAAGCTGGCTCCATCCCTATCCTGATGAGCTGGGTCCTAGGCTCCTTGCAACTTCTAGGGAGAGAGCTGCCATCCTCTACCTCCTGAGTTTGGGATTAATGGCTTCCACCTTCATGTCTGGCTTAAAAAACTTGTAAAAAGTTAGATGTGGTTGGCATGGCGCTTTGATGCGTATACTTGAAGGCTGAGGTGATGGTCCCTACATACTCCAGAGACAATCAAACATCAATGGCTCTGGTCAGTGGGGACACATGTACCTCACTGAGCATCTTCTCATTGCTGAGGACAGGTTTGAAGGGGCCAGTTGCTTGAGGAAACATCAGGGACCAAGTGTCGTCTGGGTGGGCAGGTGGGGGACAGTGACCCTATGAGCAGCCTCAGGACCTGACCCCCACATACACACCTCAGGGGAACCAAAGCTTACCCTAGGTAGAGTGTAAGGTGACAGTGCTGGCTGTAACAGCCACATGCCACATTTAAATGAAAGCAGAGAACCCAGGTGAGTCGGCCTGAACGGTGTTTGGAGAAGAGTGGTCCTCACCATTCCAAATCCTGTCAACCTGAAGACTTTGGACTGTTGCCAAAAAGTGGTTTCTGAAAAATTCAGTGTCTAACAGTTACACGTGGGGTGGCCAGCTTCCACGTGTATTTGTGATTGAGTCTTTTATCATAACATGTCTTTTAAAAGTTTGCCACCAAATGAATTTCATATTCCAATAAATGAGCTGGAATTGGTAGCCTCCTTGTATCATAATTCTGAGACACTGAAGGGCAATAAAGCAAAAAAAAAAAAGTCACTGTATTCTTTAATATCCTGGGGCTCCAGTGTTTTGTCCCAGCTTCTGGTGGCCTTAAAGGGGGAGTGGAAGGTAGGGTGCACATGCCTTTTGAACATGGCATCGCTCTATCTTGAGCTGTCAGATCCCATCTGATGTCAACAAACAGGGTTGCAGTGAAAGTTGAGGCCACAGGGGCCTGTCTGCTGGAGTAGTATCTTTCCCATCCCCTTGTGGGGCTTCTCTGAATGTTCCCAGCATGGACAGAGCTGTGGGCTCGGCCCACTGCCAGTGTCTGCATCAGCTTGAGATGCTCAGTTTCACACTGATTTTAAGGCAAGATCTACTGTAAGCTCAGGCCTCCTATGAACTGATCCTCCTGGCAGAGGCAAGCGGATCTCTAAGTTTGAAGCTGTCCTGGTCTACTCAGTGAGGCTATTTGGGAGAAAGAAGAAAAAGGAAGCTGGACATTTGGGTTCCATAGTAGCCCAGGTTGGCCATGCCTACATAGCAAAGCCATGTCTCAAAAGAACCAAATCTGAGGGGCGTGGCTCAGCAGTGCAACCCATGCCTAGAATCCCCCAGAGAGGGAGTGGGGCTCGCTCCGAGGGCGATCACCTGCCTAGTGTCAGTAGGTTTTGGGTTCCATCCCCAGCATGAGAGAGGAGCCACGGGGAGCAGGTGGTATAGTTCAACCTGTGTGAACATACGGATGCAGTCTAGCGTGCTGGAACCCAAAGACGCTACACACTCCATCTACAGAGCCTGCCGAATTACACCCTTCCCCAAGCCCCAAGGATCGTCCTGCCCAATGCTTCAGGCACTGAGGACAAACCCGTAACCACAGAGCCTCCCTGTTCACCAGAGGGTGGGTTGCTTCTGCCTAGGTCTGGCATATTCCAGATAGTAGTAGAGTTTAGCCCCGCCCCCCAGCCTCAGTTTCCCCATCATGAGGCAGTTGGGACCCAGAATGGGGTCAGAGCTCACGCTGAACCTCCAGGGCACCAAAAACTTGTGAGGGGAGCAGGGATTGAGACCCACAGCAGGCAGCCCTTCAGACTGCCTGGGCCTCACACGGGGCAGGAGAGGGTTGAAAATGATTCCCAGTCACTAAGCTGTAAAATCACCTTTCAGGTTCCCCTCCATCTTCTCATTCCCTTCCGATTTCAGCCCCAGGAACTTCCCCAGAATCACTCTGTCCTGGTTTTTTTGTTTTTGTTTTTGTTTTGTGTGTGTGTGTGGTTTTTGGAGACAGGGTTTCTCTGTGTAGCCCTGGCTACCTTGGAACTCACTCTGTAGACCAGGCTGGCCTCTAACTCACAGAGATCCCCCTCCTCTGCCTTCTGAGTGCTGCGGTTAAAAGCGTGCGCCACACTCTGGCATCCTGTGCCACTTTTAATGGTTTGGGCACAGTCTCTCTCTGGATACCCCTGCCCTACCTAGCTAGCATGGCTTATACCTTACAATCATCCCCACTTTTTGTCCTAAGTTACTTGGCATTGCATTTGCATCCTTGTTGAAGGCAAGGATGCTTCAAGCCTCTTGGAGTCCCAGGTCCTGGCTGAAGACACGCAGAACTGGGCTGCGCAGCTGTCACCCCGAGCTTGGGAAGCGTGGGCAGGAAAGCCCAAGTTCCGGCAGCCTCGCTGCACAGTGAGTGACATGCTGCAGTGAGCAAGCCGCGGCCTAGCGTGACACACACGCCACCATCACCACTGACAGCGACAGCACAGAAAACAGCACCAGTAGCTGGGTCTGTTCTCTCCACCACGACTCTCAGCTTCAAGATACCTGAGTACGAGCCATAGGCATCTCTGCACAATGACACCCGTGTGGGCCTCAGTTTCCCCATCTGCCAATGCTCCGTTTCTGCCGACAGGCACTCCCTTCCTTCACCCACGCTGACTCCAATTCAAGCATCATCGCATCCATGGAGCCTCCAGAAGTTTGGCCAGTCTGGGGAACTGAAACGTCTGACGCCAGAATCTTCTCTCCAGTGCTGAGACCTCACCTACCCCGTCTCGTAACAAGGGCCCACCGCTGAAGCCGCTTGCGAGGAAGAGCGAATTTATTGCAGGTTCCAACCTGGAACCTGCGCCGCGGCCACCCACCGCGCAGCAGGAGCTCATTCCGCGCAGGCGCAATGCGTCTCTCTCTTCTCTTCGCGCCCCTCCCGGGGCCTTTTCGCCAGAATTCGAGGATGCGCATGCGCCCTCCAGCAATCGGGCTGTGCAGGAGGAACCAGAATCCAACAGCGGGCCTCGGCCGGCCGCCGCCGTGGGGGGAGGGGGAGGGACAGGGCGCGTGCGCAGTGGCGCGCGGCGACTTCGCGGGTTTCCCCGAGCTCGCCCGTCGCGCGTGCGCCGCCCTGGCTTAGGGCCTGGTGCGGCGGGAACAGCGAGAACCCCGGCTCCTAGCCGGAGTCCCCGGCCCGCAGCCAGCCGTTGCGCGCCACCTGGCCCGCCGAGGGCCGGGCGGATGGGCTGAACTGTAGCAGCTCGGCGATCAGGGACTTGCATCGCTCCGACAGCTCGAGGCCGTCGGGGTAGAGCACGCCGCGCTTCTGGCGCCGGGGCAGGCCGGCAATGTCCGAGTCATCGAAGGGCATGCACCCGGTGACCATGACGTAGAGCACGACGCCCAGGCTCCACACGTCGTATTTCTTGGGGTCGTAGGGGATGCCCAGGAGCACCTCGGGGGACGCGTAGGCGGCCGAGCCGCAGTAGGTGGTGCTCAGGTCTGGGTAGCCGTGCGCCTGGCGGCCGAAGCCGAAGTCCGTGAGCTTGACGCGGCGCTCGTCAGGGCTCAGCAGCACGTTTTCGCATTTGAGGTCGCGGTGCACCAGGTGGTGGTCGTGCAGGTAGCGCACGGCCCCCGCGATCTGCGAGAAGAGTTCGCGCGCCTGCGAGCCCGGGATGCGCCCGTTGCGCTGCACCGCCTGCAGCAGGTCGGTGGCCGCGGCCTCCATCACGATGTACAGCTTCCCGTTGCACACCTCGATGAACTCGAAGACGTGCACGATGTGCGGGTGCCGTACCCCCCGCAGGATGGACAGCTCTCGAGGCAGGAACTTGTTGACGAAGTCCGGGGGCGCGCGCCGGCGGTCCACCACCTTGATGGCCACCGTCCCCTTATACTTCTTGGAGGTGGCCACCTTCACCTTGGAGTAGCTGCCCTCACCTATCGTGCGGCCCAGCTTGTAGCCGAGCTCGCTCAGGAGCTTGTCGCCCGACATGGTGGCGCGCGCGCGGGGAGCAGGAGGCGGCTGCTGTCGGGGGGCGGCCGGACTCCGATCTCGGGCCTAACCCATGGTGCTCGGCACCCGCACCCCCGTGCCCCCATGTGCCCACTCCCAAGGCCCTGCAGCCGCGGCGGCCTTTATTGCCCGGGTAACAATTTCTGCCTTGTGAAGTGACCGCGGGCGTCACTCGGCTCGGGGTGGGGACCCCTCCCCCGCCTCGCGGGCGCCCGAAAGCCCCCGGGCTTTGTGACTCAATCGCCGCGCGCGGCCCGTTCCTCCCGGGCGGCCTGCGGGGCACCGGCCCCGGGCGGCCCGACGGGACGGGCGTCGATGCCGGCCCCCGGCTGCGGCCCCGGGCCCGGAGGCGGGCAGGAGAGCCGGCGAGCGGAGGCCCGGGCGCGCTCGGGGCCGGCGCCCGGCCGTGCCCGGGGCCGCAGCAAAGGCCTCCGGGACCGGGGCCGGCCCGGCGGGCGCCCCGTTGGCGGAGACCCGCCCGCACTTCCGCCACACTCAACATGGCGGCCGCGCGTCACCTCGCTTCCGCCGGCTGCCGGAAGTTGGGGTCTCGCCAACATGGCGGCATCGAAGGTGAAGCAGGACATGCCCCCGCCAGGGGGCTACGGCCCCATCGACTACCAGCGCAACCTGCCTCGCCGGGGACTGTCGGGTTAGTGTCCCGCGGGGGGAGGAAGGGCGGGCTTCGGTCCCACTGAGCCTTTTCCCGGCTCTCCGGGCGGCTTCCGCTGCTTGGGACCCGGAGTTGGGAGATTTCGTTTCGTGTTAGGCCGGCCCGAAGCTGATCCCTTTGCCTCCGGCTCTCGAGTGCTGGGGCGACAGAGTCCCCCAAAGCAGGAGGCTCAGTGTGTGCTGCTGATGCCCTAGCCTAGCGCCCAGGCCAGTCGCAAGCTCCAGCCTCCAGCCCCCAGAGTGCCAGGACCACAGGCACACCATCCTTGGCTGTGTCTTTAAAGTCCTGAGGTAACAGAGTGTTGTTACTGATTTCAGCAGGAGAAGAATGCGGAGGTTCCCACCCCGGTGCTCAGAGTCACAAAAATACAATAGTCAGGGCTTGGGGTCCAATTGGTATAGTCCCTGCCTAGCATTTCAAAGTCCCAGGACCCACCCCTAGCACTGCATAAACAGTACGGAGTGGGGACACCAGTCATCCTGAGCTACATGATGCTGCCTCCTGCAAGAAAAAGAAGGAAGGAGAGAAAGAAAGCTTGGGAACTTGGAGAGATGGCTCAGTGGTTAGGAGCACTTGATGCTCTTCCAGAGGCCCTGAGCTTGGTAACGCTACCCTCTGCGGATTTAGGCCTTAATTCGCCATACTTCACTGTAAACTATGCCTCAAATAGAAAAGCAAAAACCAAAACCTTCAGGCCCTACGTGTTGGCCCACCTGTGATCCCAGCGCATGAGAAGCAAAGATGGGATCATCACAAGTTCAAGGCTAGCCTAGACTACGTGGAGAGTTCAGGCCAGCGAACCATGTGTGAGACCCTGTTTCAAAGCAGGCAATCTCTGAGTTCCAGGACAGCCAAGGTTACACAAAAACCCTGGCTGGGTGGTGGTGGTACATGTCTTTAATCCCAGCACTTGGAGACAGAGGCAGTCAGGTATCTGAGTTCAAGGCCAGCCTGGGCTACAAAGTGCATGCATGTCTGGTGCCTGTGCAAGCCAGACGAAGATGTCAGATCCCTGGAACTGAAGTTAAAGACAGTTGTGAGCTGCGGTGTGAGTGCCGCAAACTGAACTAGAGCAGCAAGTGCTTTGGTTTTGTTTTTTCCAGACAGGTCTCTGTGTAGCCTGACTGTCTGGAACTCACTCTGTCCAGGCTGGCCCACAGCTCACAGATCTGCCTGCCTCTCCCTCCTGAGTGCTGGGATTAAAGGTGTTGCCACCACACGGCCAGCGAGTGCTCTTTAAAGGTTTTTAAATTTTATTTCATGAGTATTTCCTTGTGTGTCTATGCACCTTGTTTGTGTATGCTCTTGGAGGCCAGATGAGGGCACCAGAAACCCTGGAACTGGAGTAAACAGACAATTGTGAGCCGCCTCATGGGTGCTGGGAACCAAGCCTGGGTCTTCCGCAGGAACAGCAAGGGTTCTTAACCCCTGAGCCGCCTCCCTTCCCTCTTCTCATCTTTCTGAAGACTCTCCTGCCCAGGCTAGCTTTGAACGCCCTTCTCTTTTCCTCCTGTTTCAGGGGGAGTGTTGGAATAATAGCTGTGTGCACCAAATCTGTCCCCTCCTTCCCTCCCTTCCTTACTTCTTTTTTCCCCAAGTCAGAGTTTCTCTGTGCGTCCCTGGCTGTCCTGGAACTCATGCTGTAGACCAAGCTGACCTCAGACTCAGAGCTCCACCTGTCTGTGCCTCCCAAGTGCTGGGATTGAAGGTGTGCACCACCACCGCCCGGCCCAGCTCTGTTTTTTAATAATTGTCCTTGTGCATGCGTGTGTATGGGGAGGTGACTTTTATTATTGGTGACTTGAGTTTGTTTTAGATACTGTTTCATTCTCAGAAAGTCTGCAGATGTCTGCCTTCCCAGGGGCCTGCTCAGCTAATGGTGTCATTTACAAAAGCAGTTTCTCTTACTGAAGGAAGCCCTGTTTGTGTTCTTCCTGAGCAGATTGGGCGGAGGGCCTGCGATGACATCTCTGAACCAGGGTCTCACAGCATGGCCCTGGCTGGCCTGGAACTTGGTGTAAACCAGGGACGCTGCAAACAGCGGTCATCTGAGCACCACCGGCATTATAAGATCGCATTGGGCACTTGGGCTCTTCTTCCTTTCCTTTCGGTTCTTCAAGACAGGGTTTCTCTGTAGCCCTGGTTAGTCTGGAATTCACTGTGTGAAACAGGCTGGCCTCGAACTCACAGAGATCCACCTGCCTTTGCCTCCTGAGTGCTGGAGTTAAAGGCATGCACCACCATTGCCCAGCCCTTCCTTCCTTTAAATTTATTTATTTGTTTGTTTTGGTTTGTTTTTGGTTTAGGGTCTCACTATGTTGTCCTCGCTGGCCTAGAACTCCATGTGGACAAGATTGGCCTCTAACTCACAGAAATCCACCTGCCGTGTGTGTGTGTGTGTGTGTGTGTGTGTGTGTGTGTGTGTGTGTGTGTGTGTGTGTGTGTGTGTGTGTGTGTGTGTGTGTGTGTGTGTGTGATGGGTTCTCCTATAGCTTCAGCTGGCCCTAAACTCCCCATGTAGCCATGGATGACTTTGAACTCTTGATTATCCTGCCTCTATTTCCCAAGTGGTGGGATCACAGACATGTGCCCCCTCTCCTGGCTAATGTTCAGAAGGAACCCAAGAGTGCAGCGCGTTAGGCAGGCAAGCACTCTGCCTATTGAGCTCAGCCCCGGACATCTCTTGCTCTTACCTTCAGGCCTCCGTACACTGGGAGCTGGGTTCCTGGGCGTCCCTGTGTGGCCCAGTGCTGAGAAGAAGACTCCCCATTAAATGATTGTGGCACCTTTGTCCAAAGCCAATTGGCCATAAGATTTGAGGGGTTATTTGCAGACGTCTGGTTCTGTCCCGCTGGCAAGCGTGACTGCCCTCATGCCAGCGTGTCTTTGTGCACACAGCTGCTGATGAGTTTGAAGCTGTCGCATTTCCTGAAAGCAGCCTCGCTGCCTGGGTACTTGCACGCGGCTCTCATGCCCTGACTGGCTTTCTGCAGGGGAAGGGTTAAGGCTGTGGCGGTGGCTGTTGGAGAACTGCCTCTCGCTCACAAGTTTATTGATTCGGGAAGGAACGGCTCAGGTGCCGGTGCCTCCTACAGCTTCAGCTACTCAGGGAGACCGAGGGGAGGGTGTGTGCTCTGCTCGCCCTTGTGGCATCTCCTGAAATATAGGCCGCCTCGGTGATTAACTGTGCCCACACTTGTGGACCACAGCCCCCCACAAGGGCCTGCTTGTTCTTCTGAGAAATTACGGGGAGCAGCTCTGGTCAGGCTCTGGGCCTGAGTCTGAAGATGGGGCCCCAGGGTCCTCTCAGCTGTTGACAGTGAGGGCTCTGCAGTGGTGCAGGTGTCTTCCCAGTTGGTGAGGGCTGACAGCGCCTGCAGTCAGCGAGCCAGAGATGCTCTTGAACACCTAGGGCTTCCCCTGATGTCCATGACTGGGTCTGAGTCCTGAGCGCGAGTCTTAACGTCTGAACTGAGTGGCTGGAAGTGTTTGTCTCTGACCTAGCTGAGGGTCCAGTCAGGCTTGGAGCTGCCTCTGCTGGTCACCAGTAATCATTTCTGGTGGCCCCTACCTCCCCTGGGTGTAGGCAGGTGGCCTCCCCTGCTGGACCGGTGGGCCCCTACACCAGCCCTGGAGTCAGGAGCGGCTGTGCGGCCCCCTGGGGCACCTCCCGCCTCTGGTGTCAGAGCCGGCACTGGTGCGGACCAGGCCTTTTCCTTCTGTTTTTGTTGTTTTATTCCACCACCACCCCGCCCCCCAAGACCAGGATTTTCTTGTAGCCCTGCCTGTCCTGGACCTCTGTAGACCCGGCTGGCCTCCACCTCACGGGAATTCACCTGCCTCTGCTGTGCCTGCTGGGACTAAAGGCTGCTACCACATCTGCACCTTTGGCCTTCTAGCCCAGTGGCTCTTAACCTTCCTGATGCTGCGACCATTAATACAGTTTCTCACTTCTCACTGCGGAGGTGGCCCCAGCCTTTAATCCCAACACTTGGGAGGTAGACACAGGTGGGTTTCTGTGAGTTCCAGGACAGCTAGGGTACATAGAGAAACCCTGTCTCAAAAAACAAAAATAACAACAATAAAAAATACAGTTCCGAGGGGCAGTGGCGGCGCACGACTTTAATCCCAACACTCGAGAGGCAGAGGCAGGCGGGTCTCTGTGAGTTCGAGGCCAGCCTGGTCTACAGTTTCAGGACAGCCTCCAAAACAATACAGAGAAACCCTGTCTCGAAAAACCAAAAAAAAAAAAAAAAATACAGTTCCTCAGGCTGGAGGCATGGCTCAGGAGTTAAGAGCACTGGCTGCTCTTCCCAAGGTCGTGAGTTCAATCCCCAGCATCCACATGGTGGCTGACAACCATCTGTAATGAGATCTGGTGCCCTCTTCTGTCCTGCAGGGATACATGCAGGAAGAACACTATACATGATAAATAAATAAATCTTTAAAAAAGATAAAAAGATCTTTAAGAAAATACAGTTCCTCATGTTGTGTTGACCCCAACCTATAGAATTATTTTCATTGCTACTTTGTAACTAATTTTGCTACTATTGTGAAGTGTAATGTAAATGTCTGATATGTAGGATATCTGATATGTGGCCCCTGTGAAAAGATCATTGTAACCCCAAAGGGGTCATGACCACTGGTGGAGAAGTCCTGTTCTAGACCGTGGGACTCTGCTGCGCCCCTGCTGGCCTGCACCTTCCAGAACGCCTGGCAGCCTGGACACAAAGCAGGAATGCCAGAGACTGTCCTGGGGAAGTGGCTGAGACAGGCCAGGCCAGCTGTGAGGCACTTTGCAGAGAGAGTGTTGCTGGGAGGGTCGGGGGCCATGCTGAGACTGAAGCCTCACTTTCGTTGCAGGCTACAGCATGTTTGCGGTGGGCATCGGGACCTTGCTCTTTGGCTACTGGAGGATGATGAAGTGGAACCGTGAGCGCAGGTAAGGCAGGCCCTGCTCACCCCAGGTAAGACAGACAGGCCCTGCTCACCCCAGGTAAGACAGACAGGCCATGCTCACCCCAGGTCAGACAGACAGGCCATGCTCACCCCAGGTCAGACAGACAGGCCATGCTCACACCAGGTAAGACAGACAGGCTCACACCAGGTAAGGCAGACAGGCAGGCCATGCTCACACCAGGTAAGACAGACAGGCAGGCCATGCTCACACCAGGTAAGACAGACAGGCCCTGCTCACACCAGGGTTCTGTGAGTGCGAAGGTCTCCTTGGCCGGCTGTTTGTCCAGGGCCAGGAAGTGTGGACCCTACCCCTCACTTCCTGTCCTAAAGTAAAGGAGTGAAGGGTTGGTGGACCAGGCCTGCAGCTGTTCCAGGCCAGGTGAGCATAAATCGTAGGCACCTGCGGTCTCGCAGCTGGCACTGTGTGGTCACCAGGCCAGATATGATTGGGGCTTGGGACATAGAGGCAGGTGGAGCTCTATGAGTTCCAGACCATGGGAGGCAGGTTCCCTGAAGGCCAGAGAGACTAGGATGGGGGCGTCACTAGAGGAAGAACCCCACACAGGCCTCTTCCTGAGCCCCTTCTCTCTGGGTTCTGTTTCCCAGCTCCTGAAGCCGAGAGGTTCCCGACTCCACGTGGGGTAATAGCTGCGGGAGGACCTCATACCCAGCACCCTGCTATTTTGAGAACAAAGGGAAATTGGTCTTGTAAGGCCCAGAGCCTGGTGATGAGTGTGCCCCCCTCTCCACCCGGATCATCAGACAGGGCTATTTTTAGGATTAAAAAAAAGTTTCTTTGAAAGAAAAGTGTGAAGCCAACACTTTTGTAGCTGCAGCCTGTGCCAGCTGCAGGCTTGCCTTCCTGCTCCGGCTCGGGTGGCCGCCCGCCCCCTCCCCACCGCACCCTGTGGCCCCGGCATGTCTGTGGCTCATACTCCCTCCGGGGCCACATCTGACCCCTAGTGGGGGTTGCGGTTTCACAGGCGCCTGCAGATCGAGGACTTGGAGGCCCGGATCGCCCTCATGCCGCTATTCCAGGCCGAGAAGGACCGGAGGTAGGTCAGGGTGGGAGGAGCCCTCGTCAGGGAAGGGACAGAGTGGTTGCCCTGGATAGATCTGATCTCGGCCCCACCCTGTGGCCCCAGGACCCTGCAGATTCTTCGGGAGAACCTGGAGGAGGAGGCCATCATCATGAAGGATGTGCCCGACTGGAAGGTGAGTCGGGCGGCGTGGGGGCGGGGCAGTGGGGCCTGGCGAGGACTGACCCTGCCTCTGCCCTCAGGTGGGTGAGTCTGTGTTCCACACCACGCGCTGGGTGCCGCCTCTCCCCGCCGAGTTGTACGGGCTGCGCTCCAAGGAGGAGTTGGACAACGCCAACTTCGGCTTTACCTGGTATACGTAGGGTCCGAGCCGATACCCGCAATAAAGAATAATCAAGTAAATGCCATCGTGTGACTCTGTTGCGGATCCCTACACCAGTCTGCTGCTAGGGTTCATCACGGGTTCCGTCCCCCTGTGCTTTGGCCGATGGCTGTGCGCAGCGCCCCCTGGCGGCCCTCATTAGCAGGCGCTTAGTCACAGGGCTCCGCCCACGGTGCTCGCTTAAAAGGCAGCACGGAGCCCGCCGCCTGTGTGACCATGAGCGTTGCATCCAGCGACAGGAGCCTGGGAGATGCATCAGAGGAGAGGTGCTTTCTCAGGTCAGCAGGTGATGGGGCCAGGCTGGAGGCAGGGGAGTGACTGGGGTGGTCCCTAGGGTCTGCTGGGAGCTTGCAGGTACGGCAGAAGCTGAGTTGCTAGTGAAACCGTATTCCAGGCAAGCCGGCCCTCATAGTTCCCCTCACTGTTTGAGGTGTCATCCTGAGGGACTTGGACTCACACAGAGGCTTTGAATACCGGCCGCAAGAGGCCTTAGGGTAGGATGATGCTGCCCCTGCCTTCTTTCAGGGCACAGACAACCTGTGCAGGCAACCAGGTGAGCAGCCGTGAAGGGGAGAGTGTTGGGGAGACCACCTGGGGTGTCCTGGCTGAAGGGTGCCTTGCCCTTCCTGAAAGAGACCCTACCCTTGCTGTACCTGTGCTAGGAGCAGCATTGGAATTGGTGTGTGTGGGGAAACCTCCCTCATAACAGCCTCCAAACAGCACACGGGCTTCCCCGCTGGTCTCATGAGCTCTTGTCCACCAGGGTTAGCCGCTGCCCCTGGGATTACCCACTGCCACCCCTGCAGAGGCAGACATGGCTGTCAGAAAGTGGGGACTCAGCGTGTGCTTGCTGGTGGGGACCAGAGTCCACATCAGCTGTCTAACTCTGTTTCTCCACCTCGGTGTTTGGACAGTCTCCCACTGAGCCTAAAGTTGACTGATTTCTAGACTGGTTGGCCAGTGAGTTCCACTCCTCTCCTGTTTGTACCTCACAGCAGTTGGGTTACAGGCACACCTACTGTACCAGCTAGGTTTCCAGCTAGGTTTTCTTTTTGATTTTTTGAGTGTGTGTGTCTGTGTGTTATCTGTGTCTGTATGTGTGTCTGTGTATGTGTCTGTGTGTTATCTGTGTCTGTGTGTGTGTCTGTCTCTGTGTGTTATCTGTGTGTGTATGTGTGCCTGTCTGTGTGTGTGTGTGTGTGTCTGTCTGTCTGTCTGGTGCAGGTGCCTATGGAGGTAAGAGGCATTGGATCCCCTGGAGCTGGAGTTACAAGTGGTTGTGAACTGCCTGGTATGGGTGCTAGAAGCTGATCTCAGCCCCTCTCCGCCCCGTAGATTTGGTTTTGAGACAGTCCTGTGTCACCGTCCAGGTGCTGGGGTTCAAGGATGTGCCACCGTGTTGGGCCTTGCCCCATACCGAGTGCACACTGCCCCAGCCTCCTTCCCTCCGGGCTCTCTGCCCGAAGCTCCTGACCTCTTGTCTGCAGGGTCTCCCTCACAGTGCTTTGTTTTCTTTTGGGGCAGGGTTGTTTCTGTGTAGCCCAGGCTGACCTGGAACCCACTCTGTAGCCCAGGCTGGCTTCTGCCACTGAGTGTTGGGATTAAAGGCACTGAGCCCGCCTGCCCTGCTCCCCACGCATCTGGACTTGTTACAGCTCTCATTCCTTGCTTTTCCCTTCCTTGGTGCTCCTCCCTCCTCCAGGGTGCCCTACCTGATGGTCCTCTCATGGCAGCGACTGCTGGCCAGTAGGCACCCCTCCTCAGTTCTCAGCTGGGAACCAGGGAAGAGGGCTGTCACTCATCCTACCCCACCTCTGGTTCTGTAGTTCATTGTCTGCTCCGCCCCCCCCATCAAGTGGAGACCCCCAGCCTCTGCCCTGTGGCATGCTCAGACATGTTTAGACCTTGTCATTGCTTTCTAAAAATTCTTTTTCCCCAGTGCTAAGTGTGGGACCCAGGACCTCACACATACTGGCAGGTGTTCACGCATGCAACATCGAATTGCTAATGACTTTTGAACAGATTCATGAATTATGTAATCTGTTCTTGCTTCAATTCTGTTAGAGGTAGCTGGAGACATCCCTCAACCATGTGGTGGTAAAGGCATTTGACCCAGCAGCCTCTCTCTCTGGCCAGACAATCTTTATTTTCTTTTTTAAGATAGGGCCTCATGTCCATCAGTGGTGGCGCACGCCTTTGATCCCAGCACTCGGGATGCAGAGGCAGGTAGATCTCTGTGAGTTCAAGACCAGCCTGGCCTACAAGAATGAGTTCCAGGACAGCCTCCAAAGCCACAGAGAAACCCTGTCTCGAAAACAAACAAGGACAGGGTCACCCTGCCCAGCCTGGACTGTGCTATGTAGAACATGCTGGCCTTAAATTCACACAGATCTGCCATTCTCTGCCTTCAGGTGCTGGGATTAAATATTTGGGCTACTAAAGCAAGGCTCAGATATCTTAATTTCACTGTCCTTGAATACTGGCTGTCGAGGGTCTCATAGTTGAAGGTCCCGTTTCCATTTTCCTGAGTGAGTTGCTAAATTCTGCCATCTTCATGCCCAACTCACTGCCCCCTGCAGTGTCATAGAACTTCGTCATTAATCCCTGTGGCAGAAATCATCTCTCCTCCCCATCAAATTCTCAAGGTTTGGGATATGAATCTGAAGGAGGGGAATTAGGAGTTCGATGGCACCCTGGGACACGCTGCTGGGAGAATCAGTCTGCGTTCAGGATCTTCTCAGCTTTGGGGGGGAAAACAAAAAACTCCCACTGCTGAGCGACCAGTGTATCTTTAACCTGAGGTGCGCATGCCCCAGGCTGCCATTTCAAAGCAAGCTTGGGGATGGGGAAACCGGGCAAGAGATGACGCAGCTCAGGGCCGCTGAAGCTCTTCGTGGGTAAGGACGCAGCCTGGGCCGTGCCCGGGTGTCCGCCCCCGTTCTGTGCCTCTGAGCGTGTTGCCCGACTGCCCGCAGCACCTCGGAGGCGAGCGCCCTGGAGCGGGAACTGCTGGACGAGTACCGCTTCGGGCGGCAGCAGCTGGTGGAGCTCTACGGGCACGCCAGTGCGGTGGCTGTGACCAAGGTACCAGCCCCCTTTGCGCGAGGCTACTCCAACCCATTGCTCGGTGGGGAAACGGGAGAACGCCAGACAAGGCAGAAGTGGAGTCCCAGAGACCCGGATGGAGGGAGAGCACCCACAGGGTGGGGTTTGAGCCGCTAGAAGTATGACCTACCTGACAGTCCCCTAAATGCCCCCACGAGGAGATGGGCAGGGTGGTCAAATGAGGTCTGATCAAAGTAGTGTGTCCCGCTCAGGTAACCCTAACCCCTGAAGTGCCGCCAGAGGCACTGGCTTGGTCCCACTGAGCCTGGCCTTGGGGTCCTACAGGGCAATTCAGTTATAAACGCAGAAGCCCACGAAGGGCGAGTCCCCCGCTCCACCTGTGTCTCGCCTCCTTCCTTTAAAAACATTACATTATTTCGTGTGAGCGTGTGGAGCGGGGAGGACAGTTTGTGGGAGCTAATGTTCTCATTCCACCACGTGGATTTCAGGAAACAAACTCGGGTCTCTCCTTTATCTGCTGAGCCCCCTCACTGGCCCTCTGGCCCAGACTGCTGTCGTGGTGGCTCACAACTGCAAACTCGGCTGTTGGAGGCCTCAGGCATTAGGATTGCTGCAAGTTCAAGACCAGCCTGACCGAGAACCTCTCTAACAATAACAAAAACAAAACAACAAAAAACCGTGTGCATCCTGGGGTTCTGAACAAGGCAACAGAGAGGGGTAAAGGCAGACAGGCGGTCTAGGCGCGATGCTTGCCCGATTGCGGAGCTCCCTCCGGGACACCCGCTTTTCTCTGTAAACTGGGGGTGTCCGAAGTGTGCATGGTGTGAACAAACCACACTGGGCGCAGAGGTCGGGCTTCCAACCGCCCCCATTCGAGCCCTCCGTTGTGCTGTCGCAGGCGTTCCCCTTGTCCTCGCTGTCGCGCAAGCAGAGGACGGTGCTGGTCGTGTGCGGCCCCGAGCAGAACGGCGCCGTGGGGCTGGCGTGTGCCCGGCACCTGCGGGTGTTCGTGAGTAACGGGGTCCCCGTGGTGGGGCGCAGGGCCGGGGCTGGGGTTCCGCCGGGGACGGGAGCTGGGGCGAGCTCCCTCCCGCCGCCGCCGCCGCCACGGGGCCCGGCTTCCCCCAGGATTACCAGCCCAGCGTCTTCTGCCCTGCGCGTCCGGCGGACGCGCTGCACCGCGACCTGACCACGCAGTGCGAGAAGATGGACATCCCCTTCCTGTCCTTCCTGCCCGCCGAGGTCAGCTGCGCCCACCCTGACCCCGCCCTGGCGCGCCGGCACCCGGGCGCTGACGCGAGTCCTCACACAGGTGCGGCTGGTGGACGCCGCCTACGGGCTGGTGGTGGACGCGGTGCTCGGCCCTGGAGTGCGGCCGGCGGAGGCGGGCGGGCCCTGCGCGCGCGCGCTGGCCACGCTGAGGCGGCTCTCCATCCCGCTCGTGAGCCTGGATGTCCCCTCAGGCACGGCCCCGGGGCCGCCCCCCACCCCGGTCTGTGTCCCCGTCTGCGTCCCCCAGCCTCGGTGCCCCTCGTTTGCACGCCCCGCCCCGCGCCGTGGCTCCCCATCCAACCCTTCAACCCGTTTCCGAGTCTGCCCCCGTCCTGTTTCGCACCTCAAGTGACCCGGTGCCCTCGCGGTCCCGGTGCCCGGCAGAACCGGCCCCGCCCGCCGCCGGCCCCGCAGACGTGAGCTCACCTCGGCCACGCCTGCGGGGACGATAAGCGTCCTGCCCTGTGTGGGGCTGCGTGGAAGGACCCGGCTGGAGGACCCCAGGACAGACCGGGGCCGGGGCGTATAGTCGGGGGGCAAGTGGGCGGCGGGGAGGAGGGGCCCCGAAGTTGGAAGCCTCCTGTCAGGGGGGAGCAGGCGGCTTCCGGGTAGCGCCTGAGGCAGGAGAGAAGACATCCCGGGCGCTTGTCCCCGACGGGGCCGACAGACCCCTTGGAGGCCTGGGGTGGGCCCGGGGGTGCACACGCCCCAGCTGGAGGGAGGCAGGGCGGGCCCGGCAGCCGCCGTCCTCCCAGCTGCCCCTCTCCGCCCCCAGGCTGGGACGCCGAGGCCGGCGGCGACTCGGAGGACGCGGTGCAGCCCGACGTGCTGGTGTCCCTCGCCGCGCCCAAGAGCTGCGCCGGCCGCTTCTCCGGGCGCCACCACTTCGTGGCCGGCAGGTTCGTGCCCGAGGACGTGCGCCGCAAGTTCGGCCTGCGCCTGCCCAAGTACAGCGGCACCGACTGCGTGGCCGCGCTGTGAGCGCGCCCCGCACCCCACCCCAATAAACGCCTCTCCGCCTCGGCCTCGCCTCCTTTGTGCGCCACACCGGGGGGCGGGGGGGCAGCCCCTCGGGCCGCAGAGGAGGAGAGGGTGGCCCGGGTGGGACTCGCAGGCTGTCGGGAGTGGCCGAGCTGACCAGACGCGACGGAGGACTTCTAGCCGCCGAGGCGCCCAGTGACTTCGGGTTTAAGACTCAGCGGCGCCTCGGACGCGGCGCGGGACCCAGTTGGAGAAGGCAGAGGCGGGGCGCAGCTCGGGGCAGTCTGCGGGCGGAGGCGAAGCGGGAGCCGGCGGAGGGCGACGGAGCGCGGCCCAGGGGCGTGGCTTGCGTGCGTCCCGCCTCTGCCAGTGCCTAGCGGCCGCCAGGCCCGCCCCAGTCGGACCCGAGCGCTTCGCCGAGCCGCGGCGACCTGGCGATGGCATCACCGCTGCCCTTGCTCTGTCTCTGTCTCGCGGCGGCGCGCCTAGCGGGAGCGCCAGGTGAGATGCCCCGGGGACCGAGCACCAGGCCCAAGCTTTGAGCCCTAAATCGCGAGGTCTCCAAACCTCCGCGGGGCTGTGATCCGGGAAGAAGGGGTTCTGTGGGCTGCCGCTCCTTCTAGCCCGTCTTGCAGAGTTGGAGGCCAGAGAAGCCCAGCACTTCTCGGCTGGTACCCTGAGCCCCCCTACAAAGACCCGGGGAGTAGAGGAGGAGGAGCCGAATGCACGACACTAAACTTGTGTCTGATGAACACTGGGGTACAAAGTGGGACAGTCACCCAACCCGTGGAGAGGGACAGGGCGCCAGGGTCCGCCGCTGGTAATGGAACTGGCCCCGAGGGGACAGCGCCACGGTCCCCAGGCCAGAACCGTTTCTCACCCTTGAGACGCGGTGGCCATGGTCCCCCTGTTGCATCAGAAGGGGTCTCTGCGGTCTCCATCCTGTGCCCCTTCGCGCTCCTGCAGATGCTGCCTCTACTGAGGAGCGCGCCGAAGCTGCCAGGGGTCTTCTGGGACGGCCGCAGGACCCCGGCCAGCCCTCGCCAGCCCTGGAGGACTGGGAGGGTGAGCGCTGCGGGCCTGGTGGGATGGTGGGGGAGGGTGGGCAGGGTGAGGAGTGCTTGGACATCGCGGCTCCTGGAAGCCCTCACCCCGGGGCCCCAAGCTGGAGGGACCGGCGGGAGGGGGGCCCTGGGCTCAGCACGCGGTGCCCGCAGAGGCCAGCGAGTGGACGTCGTGGTTCAACGTGGACCACCCGGGAGGAGATGGCGACTTCGAGAGCCTGGCCGCCATCCGCTTCTACTACGGTCCCGCGCGCGTGTGCCTACGGCCGCTGGCGCTGGAGGCGCGCACCACAGATTGGGCGCTACCGGCCTCCGTGGGCGAGCGGGTGCACGCCAACCCAGCACGCGGCTTTTGGTGCCTCAATCGGGAGCAGCCGCGAGGCCGCCGCTGCTCCAACTACCACGTGCGCTTCCGGTGCCCACTGGGTAAGGGCGGGAACCATAGAAAGTGTGACCCTGGGGAGCAAGGCTTAGGGAAAGCAGGGGCGGGGCGGGGCTTCGATGAGACACACCCGCCACCTGCTGGCTTTGGTCTGAGGTGACGAACTGGGCCCAGGTGGCACCCGAATGCCAGGACCCCACCGGCCCATCCTGAACAGTTGGAGGATTCAAGACTAATGGGAAGCAGCAGGGCTAGGAGCGCACCTAGCAGGGAGCCGGGGTTGGCTCTGCCGGGCGGGCGTGTGTATGCCGGGGGGGGGGCGCATAGTCCAGAGAGCCCGCTGCGGGGGGTGGGCAGCTCCATCTCATCTCCTCCTTGCTCCGCAGAGGCCGCGTGGAGCGCGTGGGGCGCGTGGGGTCTCTGCTCCAAGAGCTGCGGGCCAGGCCGTCGCCTGCGCCGCCGCAGCTGTCAAAGCTCGTCTGGGGACACGTGTCCTGGTAACCCCCAGGAGGCGCAGAAGTGCGTGAGGTCCCGGTGCCCAGGTAGGAGGGACGGAGCCTGAAGAGGGCTCGCTCATGGGTGGGGCTTGCATAAGGAGGGGCCAAGAGGACTAAGTTGAAGCGGGGACCCTGAAAAGGTCAGGCCAGTAAAGGGAGCAACTTGGGACACAGGCCAGCGCCTATAAGGGTACGATATTGGCAAGCCCTTCCCCCCCCCCTGCCCGATTGGGCCAAACTGCACATAATCGAACGCGATTCTGCTGGGCGTGGACTCCTGGGCGCAGGACTACGCAGAGGTCAGAGGCTGCCGGGCAGACGTGAGCAGTCATCTCCCCTAGTGTACCGTTGGCCCCGTGTGCAGAGGAAGCCGGGTGTCTGAGTGCACGCATGCGGCACTCAATCTGTCTGTCCTGCTCGCCCACGCAGACACGATGCCCAGGGCCAGCCAGGAGGCCAGCCAGGAGGGGACTGGAAATTCCACTCGGGCCTGTGCTCCACAAACATGGTCTGCAGACAGCTACGGCAGCCCTCATGGGGGGGGCAAGGTTGCCAATGGTGCCCCACCCGGCACCTCCGCCCTGAGGTTTCCGCTGCAATTTTCCATTTTGTGGAGAACAGCACTGAAGTGAGACAGATGTGCCCCTCCCTCCCAGCCCTGCCTAGGTGTCCCTGTGGATGAGTGCTCACCATCTTTGTGACCCAGCCTCTTGGGTCCCCCTCGCTGGGCCCACTCATCCCTGACTCCAGTCCAGCCACACTGGTGGGGGGGTTACACGTTTGCCGAATGACCGAGTGCAAAGCTCTCCTCAAGAATTCTCTGCCCTTGCCACCCCATGTTCCCCTAGCGTGTAGCTCTGACACCTGTGGGTGCCCTGACCACATCCTCTTGGGCTCAGTGGTCACCCCATCTGGGCGACCGCTGCCAGGAGCTAGGATCTTCCTTCAAGCCCGACCTGGCACTGTAGCCACCAGTGACACCCACGGAACCTTCCTGGTGCCCGGCGTCTGCGCCGGCAGCCAGGCCAATGTCAGTGCCCAGATGGATGGCTTCTCCACCGGTACAGCCCCGGCCCATGCCAACAGCTCCAACTCGGCCGTGGTGACCATCGTCCTTAAAGAGTTAGGTGAGAGTCCTTGCAGCCAAGAACATGGGGGAGAGTGACGGGGGACCTTCCAGGCCAAGGGGTAAAGACAACAACAACAATAAACAAGATAGGCCTCACTTGTTGACAGTGCCGGGTGAGACTGTTCTCGAGAGGATGGGAGAAAGGGTCTGGGGCATAGCAGGGTCACCACCTTGGCCAACTCCTATCCCCGCAGGGAAGCCATACCTGGTAAAGCACCCCGAGTCCCGAGTGCGAGAGGCAGGTCAGAATGTGACCTTCTGCTGCAAGGCTTCGGGGACCCCCATGCCTAAGAAATATTCCTGGTGAGTGTCTACACGGCCTCGGGTACTGGGCCAGCCTTGGGTTGGGAGTTCCTGTAACTCTGTGGCGCCGGTGACGAACGCACGGTTCCAGCGCTGAGGCACGAGGACTGCTGGAGCTTTAAGTAGAGTGGGCTACACTGGTGGGCCATGTCTCAGAAGAAGACACAAGGCAGGCCTGGTGGGGCACCCCTGTTGAGATCAAAGTCAGCCTGGGGTGCACAGCCGTGTCTCAACAAACAGACTTCTAGGAGAGAACGTCCGCCTCAGTTTCCCCTTTATTCAGAGTGCAGGGGTCCAGGGAGAAGGCTGAGCTCCAGGAAGCCGCTCGCCAATCCTAATGACAGAGGTAGTCGGCCCTCCCTCCCTCCCTAAGGTCCCCACCTACTGCCTTCTCCAGGTTCCACAACGGGACCCTGCTGGACCGGCGCCAGCATGGGTCCGGGCCGCACCTGGAGCTCCGGGGGGCTCGGCGAGGCCCAGGCGGGGGAGTACCACTGCAAGGCCTGGAACGAGGCTGGCGCCGTGCGCTCCCGCGCCGCCCAGCTCACGGTGCTCGGTGAGCCGCCCGGTTCCCCCCCCCAGCCCAGCCCACGTCCCCAATCTCAGCCCCCCCTCCCTTGACCCGCTTGTTGGACTCCCCAGCTCCCGGCCAGCCGGCCTGCGACCCCCGACCTCAGGAATACTTGATCAAGCTTCCGGACGAGTGCGCCGGGCCGGGCGGCGGCCCCGCGTACCTAGACGTGGGCCTGTGCGCGGATACGCGCTGCCCGGGCCCCGTGGGCTCCGGCCCCCGCTGCGGGGACACGGGCTCTCGCTGCTGCTCCGTGTTGCGCCTGGAGAGCAGGGACATCCGCTGCTCCGGCTACGTGCTCCCGGTGAAGGTGGTGGCAGAGTGTGGCTGTCGCAAGTGCCTGCCCCGTCTGGGGCTGGTGAGGGGCCGCGTGGTGGCAGCGGACTCCGGGGAGCCCCTGCGCTTTGCCAGGATCCTGCTGGGCCGCGCGCCCATCGGCTTCACCTCCTACCAGGGCGACTTCACCATCGAGGTTCCGCCGGCCACCGACCGCCTCGTGGTGACCTTCGTGGACCCGAGCGGCGAGTTCGTGGACAGCGTCCGCGTGCTGCCCTTCGACCCCCGCGGCGCCGGCGTGTACCACGAGGTCCGTGCGCTGCGCAAGGCGGCCGCGGTGCTGCTGGACGCGGGGCGCGGCGGCGCGATCCCGCTGGGCGGCGCGGAGGCGGCGGCCGCGCCGGCGCTGGGCGAACTGGTCCTGCCTCCCGGGACCTTCCGTCACCCCGACGGCCGTCCCTACGCCGGCCCAGTGGAGGCGCGCGTCACCTTCGTGGACCCTCGTGACCTGGCGTCTGCGTCCGCGGCGTCCAGCGACTTGCGCTTCCTGGACAGCTCCGGCGAGCTGGCGCCGCTGCGTACCTACGGCATGTTCGCGGTGGACCTGCGCGCGCCCGGCTCGGCCGAGCAGCTGCACGCGGCGCGCGCGGCCGTGCGCGTGGACGCCGAGCACGTGCGCATGCCCGGGCACGCCGAGGCGCTGGCCCTCTGGTCGCTGGAGCCGGAGAGCGGCCTCTGGGAGGAGGAGGGGGCCGCGCGGGGAGAAGGCGGCTTCCGGCGCGAGGCGGCGGCGGCGCGCGTGCGCAGGGAGGAGCGCGCC